CCATAATAACTAGTATATCTAAAACAAAATCTCCAGGTTCCTAGATTATGGAATTTCAAATCAGTGAAGAAACGATAAACTGAAATCTAATAAAAGGAACTGGAATAACTGGATAAATACTTGGGGGGAAAAAAGTTTCCTAACTTATCTGAAAACCCTCATTTCCTTCTTTGATCATATGATCGTATCTCTTATCATGTAGCCATGAGTCTCCATCCCATACCAACCTTTAATCAAGTGAAATCAAGTAACACCTTAAAAATAATAAGGAATAAAATAAATGCAGAGGTCTCTGTTAGGCTACCCGTGTCGCAAATTTAGTCATCAGATGTGTTCTGTTTGCCAGCAATATATTTGGGGGAGAAGAGGAGGCAGCTGGCTGGTTCAAACCCTTGACCTTGGTGTTATAAGACCATGCTCTAAAACCAACTGAGCTATATTGCCAGCCCCTGCCAGCAATATTTTTTTAAAAAATCTGATTTAACATTACACATGTAAAAACTTGGAGACGTCACATAAAAATCAATATTTCTGACCTAGCTTAAAAAGTGAGAAAAGTCTTTAGATGATCTGGCAGCATATATTAACACTGGACTCACATTTCTTTATGGCCATAAGCTTAGGGCTGAGTAGCTGCTGCCCTTTTAGGTGGGTTCTCACACCCAACCTATTTCACTCATCTATATTATCTCTCTAGAACTTCTAGACATTTGCCCCTCCTGAATTAAAGGGATTAAAACGAGTAGCCTTAAATTAAAAGCTAACAATTCACAAAAGGGTAGGAATCAGTCTAAAATGTAACTGAGTAGAAATTTTAAAAGGGGAAGTTGGAGGTTAGGATGGAATACTTAAGCTCAATATCTTAATATCCTCTCATTTACCATATACTTTATAATTAATTTATTTATAATCAAAAGTGTATTCTGTTTTACTAACATAGTCTTCTATTCTTGCTTCTATTACTGTTTTAAGATCTATTTTGGGCCGAGCCCATGGTGCACTCGGGAGAGTGCGGCGCTGGGAGCGCAGCGATGCTCCCGCCGTGGGTTTGGATCCTATATAGGAATGGCCGGTGTGCCACTGGCTGAGCGCGGTGTGGGCGACACCACACCAGGGGTTGCGATCCCCTTACTGGTCACAAAAAAGACAAAAAAAAAAAAAAAGATCTATTTTGATAACTGGTAGAACCCTAACCTTACTATCCTTTCAAAAAATGACCTTGGATATTATTTATCCTTCCACCACATGAAACCCTGTTGAGATTTTGACTGGGATTAGAATTTATAGATCACGGGCCGGCCCGGTGGCGCACTGGATAAGTGCGCCGCTTGGGAAGCGCGGCGGCGCTCCCGCCCGAGGGTTCGGATCCCACATGCAGACCGGTTCCCGCTCACTGGCTGAGCGAGGCGCGGGAGCAGCACCGAGGGTTGCAATACCGTTGCCGGTCCCCGGTCCGGTATGGGGGCAACACTGAGGGTTGCGATCCGTTGCCGGACA